TATTCCTTGTGGATTCAACCTATTTTAATTGCTGTGCCTGCTAGTTGTTCCTGATTTGCAGGCTTGTAACGTGCAACATGAAGGCTTTGTGCGACTGGGCTGTTCTGACTTTTTCTGTTAGAGCATTGATTTGCAAAGATGCATTAGAAAGTGCTGTCAAATAGGTTTTTGTGTTCTAAAGCAGATTTTTCAAAATCTTTGTAAGTGCTTAGAAGCTCTGCTGAGCCATGACTTTTGGTTCTCCTTCCAGTTTATGCAAGATGGTTTCCTCGCAATGCCGCTCAAATTTTCTCCTTTGCTTTCTAATACGAAGGAGGGGTGGTGTTCCCAAAAGCTTTGGGTTTTTTTTTTTTTTCCCTTTCACTGTGCCAGTGTGTCAGTTTGCCTAGCAGAAGATACTAGCTCTAGCTGCAAGCCTTGCCTCTCCTGGATCACCAGGCATTAGCATTTGTGAAGGAATTTATTCTGCAAGTTAATTTTTTGCTGAGATATAGTTTATGGCTTCTCTCTACTACTCCTTGAAGTGTTTCTGCAAGCTCCCAGGACCACAGGAACAGACAGTGGGGTTTCTTCCGCTCAAGTTGATCAGTGCAAGAAAGGGTGATATGGGTGACCATAGGACTTGACTAGAAGTATATTTATTTTTTGCACATTCTCGTCTATTGTGATTCTATTCCTCACCGCACAGAACCACTGGAAACACATCTTTCCCTCTCTGGGGCAAATAGTCATCTCTCCTCCAGCCCTTTGGTTTGCTCCAGAGCTCTTTGTTCCCTGAATTACTGAAGATAACACAAATATTTCTCTCCACTGCTTTGAAAGTGCTGCTGTGACCCTGGTATCTCAGAGTTTAAGTCCAGTTTTTCAATCCGTGGTTCCGTTAGCATCTCATGATGAGTTTTAGCAGGTTTTCCCTTTGAATTCCCACTCCGCCGTACACCCATCCTATGTCGAGCGCTCTTGGCTTGGAGCAGGTGAGAGGCCAAGTTGGAAAGCTGCTCACCGCCAATTTTTCATGGCCAAGGAAAAGGAGAACTTTGCCAACCTAGGAACCAAGGAGGAATAAGGATCCCTAACAGCTGCTGACCCAAAGGGTCTGTAATCCTCTGGTTCTTCCTCCCCCTGCTCAGAGGAAGAGGATGAACGCCCAACTCAGAGCATGCCAAACCGAGCAAGTCTGCTCGAGGGACCGGAGTCGTTCGGCTCTGAGACTGCTGAGCTGGCACTGGTCCCGGGCAGTGTTAGAGCAGAGGTACCTAACCCGTGAGCTAAAGAACTCTTACGCTGGACAGGAGAAAAGCCTTGTCCTTGAGCTGTCCATCTGCGGGGGGTGGGAATTTGAGCTTGCATCATGACGGCAGTAACAATAGCAAAATCCTTTTAACCATGGATCTGCACGTATTTCTGTACCCACACATCTAAATTGGAAGTCAGTCATCCCACTTTCATAGTTTCCAGTCAAAACTTACTCTTCCACACCGTATTGCTGTAGTCACCGTTTAGTTCCATATCACATAGCTGTTGTTTCTTCGGACACACAGTTGCCAGGTTTCGGAGGCCCAGCCGTCTCTGAGGAGGTGAGGCAGCTCTTTCAGCGTAGCAGAGCACAAGAGCCAAACTCCTCACAAACCAGTCATGTGTGCCAATGCATCCCAGTATTTTTCATATCTCCTTGCAGCTAAGGGCAAAATTGCAAACTGAAGGCTGCCATCCTGGCTTGCCAGTGTTTCTCGCTTGAGCTGCTCAGCTCAAGCTGTTTTGTCCACCAACTTACTGAACTTCTCCCACTAGAGCCTCCTCTTGATTTTACTTCATTCAGCCTTAAAAATTCCACCTAGGCTTCTTTTTATAGCCAGAAATAATCACGACGTGCATTAGGTGAGTTGATCAAGCCTACAGAGTAAGTCAGTGGCAAAGCTGGAATTAGCATCCAAGAGATCTGCTTCCCAGTGCCAAGCAGACTGCTATGAAAAACTGCAGGGAGGAGATCATGCTGGAAGATTAAAACGAGTCATTTGGGATGTGGATATGAAACACACAGAAGACAGAAAAAACCCTGCAGACTATTTGGAACATATTGAATTGGCTTTATAGATAAATAACCTGCCAAGGATGAGAGCAGCGAGAGGAGACCCCGTCACCTTCTGAGGGCATTGGAGTTGCGCATAATCATTCCTATGGGGTGCTGCTCAGCTGAGAAGCAATTAGAGTATGAATAAAGACTTAAGCAAGGGTGAGGTAAAGAACACGGCAGTGCACATGAGGTTCAGCGCACAGACATCATATACGGGGACATCCTGATCTGGGAAAAGCGAAGTGATAGTCCCTGTCCCATGAGCAGCCCATCGAGTCATCTAACCCCCCTTTCCCTGCTCCTTCCTGAAATACATCAGCAGGCTGAGTCCTCGTTCTTTTGCAAACAGTTCTTCACCACTGAGTTGTCTCCCACATTATTATGAAAATGAGTTTGAATAATTTTAAATTCCATGTTAAAGGCCTATATTTCATTCTAAGAGCATGCTTTCACCAATACGGTTGGAAATTTTGCTTCTGTTCGGTAACCTAATGCATATGTTTGACAGTAAAATGCAGTGAAATAACATTTATTCCAGTCAAGACATGCTCAGCTGCAGGAAGTTTCTACCATTATTTAACATAACAGTGAGGAAAAAAGCTGTTTAAAGTCAAGTCACTTTGCAATGAACAGCTCTTTCATTGTAAAAGTAAAATAATTTGATCCTCTGCTTGGTGGATATCACAGATAATGTGTGAAATGTAGGGAACGAGATCACCGCGACTGCAAAACCCAGAAAAGCAAATCGATGCATTGCATTCGGAAACTGCTCCGGACCACTGACTTACCCTTGTTCACCACTTCTCACTGTACGTTCTTTAACAATGCATATCAAAACACCATCGCTAGGGATCTCGCTGGGCCTTTAGCCAAGTTGAGTAACAAACCGTGTGCTGAAGGAGTCCCAAACCCATCGGGTGCACAGGACCAGAGGTTGCCCCCAGCCCTTTTCCAGCTGCATCCCCTGCTCTCGTGATGGCTGCGTGCCCTGCGGTGCCGTTTGTTGGGCAGTTTGCGGCAGCAGGACCTCTTTCTGGTCTCCATGTGAGATTGGGAAAAAGTTTTGTGGCTTCGCTGTCATCTTGCTTACTTCCACACCCACCTGAAAACTCTTGTGTCTGCACTGAAAAAGGTGCTGTCCTGTCTTTCATCAGTTTATAGGGTGTGGACTCAAAATATATGATTGAAGAGGACATAGGAATTTGGGTATCGATGACCTTGTAGGAGACTCTTTTTCAAGTAAAGGTGTGATAGATTGCCATTCGTTTTACATACTCACTGATAACAATTTCAATGTTTCTCTAGAAATACATATTTTACAACGGTGAATAATTCATAGGCACTTTCTGTGGAAGTTATTTCAAGACCTTACAATACAAATCATTGCAGCAAAGTGCCATGAAGACAAAACCCAGGACGGCTCAGAACTGTGCATGCTTATCCAACCATCAGAGGGAGTCAGATCATGAATATAATTTAGATTAATGGAATGGTGAGATTTCTGAACATTTCATAAATGACTTCTTCGCTTAAGGGCTTTTTTGGTCTTTTGCTTTCCTATGTGCCTCTTTTATCACCATTAAGTTAAAAGAAGAAAAATACTATTAGCAGTGATGACACGCTACCACTCAAGGCCTCAACGTGCCTGTTTCGTAAAGAATAAAACTGGCTCAGGTGCTGGAAGCATCATGCTCAGTAGGTTCCTTTACCGTTTCCAGCTCGCTGGAGCTCTCTAGCAATGGGTTGCCAGTGTGCCACGGCATGTCTGATCGTGCATCCGTGTCTCCGTTCCTTGTCGTTGGGACAGGTGGAAGATATCACAGCCGTACACGAAGCTGCAATCTTACAGTTGGAAAATAACCACATAGTCGCCATCACAGTACTGCAGGATGAGAACGACTGCAAGATTCAAGGTAAGCCAAAGCCAACCCAGTGGCTACAGAGCTATTCCAGAGCAGGAATTAATGCTGTAGTGAGATTGTGTAAGCCTGGATTTTCTTCCTCCAGAGCAGATGATACAGAAAATTTGTGTTGGTCTAGCGCTTTCACGTGAGGTGGACCACCAGGTTCATGCTAGGGGTCGGGGAGATCTGTGTGCAGTGTGTACAGCATCGAACTTGGACCTGAGACTATCTGAGGGGGCTTTGGGCCAAAGATAAAGCTTTCTCCATGGGTCACTGGACAGAGAGTCCAGATTCCACCCCACTTCACACACAGACTTCTCTCAAGAGCCTAATCTTCAGGTGCTCAGGAGGCTACAGCTCCTTGAACATCTCTGACTTCAGGTGCTTAAATGCCTATGCTGCTTCTAAAACCAAGACTCATCATTTTCAGTAGCAAAAGCCTGGCCATGCTGAGCAGCCTGAAGCCAGAGGCTGGCGCACATCTGCACCTCAGCACCCTTACCTTGACTTTGTGTTACCCTTTCTCCATGGGATTTGATGCTGCAGACAGAGTTGTTTCCTCCCTTCCAGTTCAGTATCTAAATACATGTTTTTGTACATGCTTTAGCTGACATTTAACAGTTCTCTGTACAATCTCCCTCTTTTTTTTTTTTTTTTTTTGACATGTAAGCGTGAGGGTCTAATTTTTAAATAGCTCCAGCAGGTTTTCCCACAACTTTCCCCAAACGGAGCCATAACATTTAGCTCCGTGCTGTGTCAATCAGAGACGAAGTCCAGAGCATAACGAGAGCTGAGAACAGTCTGTTCCCCTCTCCTGTAAGCAGAGATGGTATCTGGCATACCATTTCCAAATTAACATATACAATTTTGAAAATGTGAAAAAACCCAAAACCCTGTTTCTTGCTTGAGGATATTCTTATCTGTCCATTTTCGTTAGTATTTTCTGATGAGAAAACTTGGCTGTGGTTTATCAAGGCTCTGGTGGCCAAGGTTTGTGCTCCCTGCTCCTGGAGCGGGTACGAAATGCCCTCCCGTGCATGGGAAATGCATTACAGGAGCTGCATCCCAGCGTGCTGTACGGGGCACTGGAGCATCAGCGGTGTTATTGCTGTTGTTCTGGTTAGTGAGCAATGGTTAGAGGGCAGAACACAGTGGGGTTGAGGGTAAAAACAAAAAAATAGAGTGTCCATCTACTAAAAAGGTAGGTGCTGTTACTGTACTGAATGACCGTTTGATGCCATTGCTTTAGAGATTAAATTTATTCCACTTTGGTTATTAAAATTTTGGTTATTATTAAGTGCAGGGTGAGTTGGTCTAGTAGTGAAACCTTTAATCATGCAATAATAATAGAGGATTTTTTTGTCGTTGGGCTCTGTCAGTCTCACTAATGGAATAAACCTCACCGGACATCTGCCGCAGCTCCTGGAGAAGCACTGTCCTTTGCCTTTTGGCATCTGAGTTACTGGCCCGCCTCTCTATCTCCCCAAAGAAATTGCAACCCAAGCTTTTATATACGTATCTAATTTAAAAATCTTTGCTTTGGGGATACTGACTCTGAACTGGTAAATGGCCCATTGTCAGACTGACCCTTTTCAGATCAGAGCCCCCGGAATTCTGTGCAGTTCTGAAAAATCAGAATCTGGTCATGGCGAAACAGAGGTACCTATTGGAAATCCTGATCTCAAAACAATTCACCTAAGATCACGGAGTACATTACTACCAGTTTCCTACTCAACCTCCATGCCCTAAAACTGCATCCCAAATTGCGCTTGGCTTAGGATGTCTGTGCTCTCGGATCCTGGTTTTGCTGGACTTCACGTAGCCATGTCATGTCTCTGTATCTTCCCCAGCACTGAATACCGCTCACAAACTGGAAAAGGCACAATTAGAAGAGAATTTTGAAAAACTGCGGCTGTCACTCCAGGTTAGCGGTTTCATTCTTTCCCATCCCTGGGCTGATGTAGCGGAGCAGCTGATGGGGCAGCCCCAGCCCGGTTGCCAGCAGCCAGCACACCGGGGCTGTTGCTTCTTCCCAGCTACTGTACCTCTCCTCCTCTGCCTGTCCAAACTGGGATCGAGCACCAAAGGTGCCCCCTCAGGTTTTTTTCCTCCCCCTTGGCTGGTTCAGCAAAATACTATCTGAAAGAGAAGCAAGGACAAACCTAAAGGGATGAGAAGGCAGCTGGATAAAGCAAAGAAATGTCCTTTTGACCCTGCTGGCCCAGCACAAGGAGCAAAATTGAACTCTTCCCTGCATGGTGGGGAGGGCTCAGCACCTGCGGTGGCTGTGAGCATCATCTCGTCTATGTGGCATCGCTGGTGCTCAGAAAGGCTGACCTCTCCCTGCCTGGCCCTGTGCCTCTGCCTTAAACTTTTCCCCCCTGCCTGAATTTGGGGGGAGCCGGTCCCGCCGTGCAGACACATCTCCATTCCCACCGGAGAGCACCGCGGTCCCTGATGGGGGATGCCCCAGGGCTGACCCTGCTGTGCAGCCAGGCTATGGCTGGCCCTGCATATCACATTTCCCACATCCTACTATTTAACACCAAGCTCAAAATCATCTTGGGTTTTTCAGTCCTTCTAGTAACTCCGTGCTGTTCTCACTCTATGAAGAAATCCCAAGGAGTGGAGGGCAGGAGCATGCCCCTGTCATTGACACTAAGTTTGGAAATCTTGTGTGAACAAGTAAAGATGCCACAGCAAATAATGTAAGCTCTGTTTGATTTCCTAGGCAGAGATGAATTCCAGTTTTTAACCCTTTTTTAACTGACTACCACATACTGTTGCATGCAGCAACTGTCGCTGCCTTCCTCACGCGGCTGTGGCAGTTCGAGGCATGTCGGCAGTTTTGCAATAAGCACTGATGTAATGTTACAGCCAAGAAATTACACGCACGTGAGATAAGAATACCAGTTTCACAGCAACTGTGGCT